GGCCCCGAACAATGAGCAAAACTAAATCGAACTGAAAAGAATCCAGTTTAATAGATGTGCGAAATTAAGTACGAATAAGGTAGTATTTATCAAATAGGTCTATTTCCTTTAGACAGATATTCTTTGTAGATATTGTATGGTGGGCCTGGAGAGCAGGGACATTATTTGTGTTTAGGCAAGTGGGAGTGGCCCATATAGCGGAGAGTTAAATAGAGCAAGGTCTTGGTCTAATGTCCCGCTGTTCCCCAGGTAGGAGGGTGCGGGGTATTCCACTGACTGGTGCATAATGCTCACAATTTCTTTCTTATATAGTTTTGCAGTTCTGAGTGTGTACTATCTTAGTCTTACAAATAAATGGTGCCATCTGAAGCTGACATATTAAACAAAAATGTCGAGAAATATAGATTTTGTCTCCCATCAGCAGATTGTTCAGTTGTTCTACAATAGAGGTAGCCTTGAAGGTGCCATTAAAACAATAATTGGGAAAAAAACTGACTTAGTATTTCTATATATGAAATTGTTATTAAATTCTATGTGTCCAATGATTCATTCAAGTATTATTATTGTTATACGTACATATGGTATTATAACTATTATTGTTCAGTATTGAGTGGCAAGCTAGCCATGGTAACTGGTCATGGTATATATGCTAATAGACCTGCAATGCAAATCATTAAAGACCATAGCATGACCTAGCTGTTACTATGGCTAGCTTCACCAGTGCTGACAGTAATTATAATTATACATACAAAAACAAGAAGTTATAAGCATTGAAGGAATTCATATAAATTTGGCATGCCAAGAAAGTAGAATATTTAGCTGACCTTTGACTTTGTGCAAGGTGTTTGGTATTCAAATTGCACTTTCCTTACCTCCTGAACAGGCATCTTAGGCTAAGGGGCTGTTTACATGATGGAATGTGGGATGATTTTGATGTATTGAAATACGTCCATAGGCTAAATGAAAGTCCAAATGCTGGTTAACAAAACTCAAATGTTGTAGAGCAGATCTTGTAGTTCAAGAAGATTATTATTGCTGCTTGAACAACCTTTCAGTTTACAGATAACTATTGCTATCTCTCGAAAATAATGAAGTTTTTTGCTGAAGTGTACACCGTGACTTATACATCTAAATCATCCCGCCTCATATATCATCCTGGCAAAGCGGGATCATAAAAACAGCCCCTTATTCAGCAAATTGTGCATGCTGCCTTTGACCCCTTGGGGGTGAGGCAGCACTTTCCTTGCGATAGTAACTTCTAGTCTTATTGCTAATTTAGCTTGAATATTCGATTTTATTATATGGACAATTGTGTGAACTCAGAGGTGTGAACCAGTGGTGTGAACTCATACGTCACTACATCCGGGACCAGGTGCGTGTATTTTCCGTATTCTTTGACCCCTGCAAGTTCGAAAATTTCCCGCCATTTTCATTGTTGTTTTGAAAATACAAAATTATGGTCGAAATTAACGTTGGAAATAAAACGAAAACATTTAAAAGACATCTTGAGATAAGTAAAATTTATTCTTACTAGTTTTATTTTTGCACTATAATTTTAAAAAATATCGCTTTTAATGTTTGATACTGGTCTTTCGCGTGCTTTATAAATATTTACATGTCATCTTTGTGTGTATTTTTGTCACTCTGTGTATTAAAAGTCCATATAATAAACAGAACATTAAACGGTTGCGAGAAGATATGAAATTATGTTCTCGTGTCAAAAACAATATGTTTTTGCCACTCAAACATAAAATCCATCTCTCTTCGCAACCGTCTAAAATCCTCTAATATGGCATAGTCGGCATAGGCAGCCCAGCAAAATGTGTATTCTAAAATTAAACGCTTAAAAATACGTAATATAAAGTTCGTCTCAATAATTTGCTGTCAAGCGATTTATTTGTGTAGCTCATTATTTATATACATGCAGATTCCGCTGTTTACGTCATTGTATTTTCATACAGTATATTATACTGTATGAAAATACAAGGACGTAAACATCGGAATCTGCATGTATAATGAGCAACACAAATAAATCGCTTTTAGAATACACATTTTGCTGGGCTGCTATGTCTATATACACGTGATTCGTAAAAAATGTAAAGAGTGTTTGTTTTCTTGCTTCGTCTTCGTCTCACTCTTCGACCAGAGAATTTTATTTTATACATTTTACCTGTTTATATACTAGTTTATAGTTAAAACACTTACAAAGTTAACACACAGTACAGCAATTGTTTTTTAAATCCCGGAATAACTAGAAAATTTGAAACACTTGCATACTGCAGAAATTCTACATTATTCATAAATTACCCGGGGAAAAAGTTAGAAATCCAAAACTTTGGAAATTTACCAGAAAAAGTGTGAAGATTTTCTAGAAAACCTAGAGAATCAAAGCATTGGAAATGATTCAAATTTTCCAGTGTACTATTGAGAGTCCTGAAGGGTGGCGCCTATATATGCAATTTCCCAGCCCGAATTTTCTCTCAATCTGCAGGCCCAACTGTGAAATCGAAAGAAAATTTCTTGAGAACTAGTTTTGCTGGGAAAAATGTAAATGACCGCATCAAGTTGAATCCTAGACTTTTTTAGACAAATTCTCTAGTATCCAATATTGCTCTGTAGCTGTACTTAAACACCTACAGCTGTTTTCATAATGGTATATATGGGATTTGTGCCTTCCAATCTCAGTAACTTAAATCCCATTTTCCCAGTCCAAAAATAGGCAAATTCCAGATCATGAAAGATGTGTTTAAGTTTTGCATCAACCTCGTTCCCAGGGCTTTCTGGGAACGAGGTTGGTTTTGCACTTCACTTGGCTGAACTGGAATCGTAGAGAAGCTGGTTCGACGCCTGCCAGAGGACCTTATAATTGCATTTTTCGCAAGGTTCCGTTCCTGGTAGATCTTAATTAAACTGCATATATACTGTATAATTATATGCTATGAGTGATACAATATCATGCACGTATATACGAATTATCCACCAAACCCTGCAAATCTCAGTTCCCATTTTACCCCTTCAGGACCTTCAGTATATTCAAAGTTTATTTATTCTTGATGCAAACCAGTCATTTTTTCACTGACTTCCCAAAGCTTCTTGGCAGTCCCGTCATCCTTTGCGTGCTGAGCACATTCCTCTTGTTTACAGTCACCAAAATATAGTCCAGACACCTCTTGCAATGACGGTTCAGTCGCACAATATGTTGTGGTCTGCGCTCCTTGCCACGGTGTCTTTAATATCAGGAGTAATAATGGATAGGCAAGATATCTAAGGATAGGATTAAATGTACTGTATCTGGCTAGTTCTGTCCAAACTATACCAGGGTGTAGCGAGTTGACTGTTACTCCTTAAAAGACAAAAAAACACACATTGCAGATCTTAATGGTACCATTAATGTTGAAACAATCATTCATGCATAAGGTCAATCCACCAGTCATGGACATTTCAAACTCCAGAGACCATTTTTCAACATTGTCTTTCTGCTCTGCATTTAAGTAGGCTAACCTAACGATAACCCTTTGTGGTGCAAAGCAAAATACACTAGAATAGATACTAAAAAATGGCCAGGTTAATCAGTTGGCTATAAGAGTTGTTATAGATATTACAATTAAAACAACCATTTCAATTCATAAAGAGGGAGGGTGTGGCCCAACTGTAACCAACAGAGATTTGTTCATTTCAACTCACAATCTTTCATGAATGACATGTTATGTTACATATTTATTTGGTTTCAAAATATGTGATTTTCTTGTTATGGATATTATAGCTAAAACAACCATTTACTTCAATTTATAAAGAGGGAGGGTATGGCCCAAATGTAACCAACAAAGACAAATCACAAATCTTGTTCTTCTCATTAACTCATAATATTTCATGAATATAAACACAAGTTATTTCATATTTATTTGTTTCAAAATATGTGACCCTACTGTTTAATTATTATTTTACTCCAAGTCTAACACTACATGTCAAGGGAAGAGTCTTGTCAACCACACTAACTGCCAAATTATCTTGTTAGTCCATTCAGCTGCAATGCACCTAAGTATGCATCTACTTTATTGTTCTACTTTTATTTAGCTTAATTTGCCTAAAATAGCTCTTTATATTTTGCGATAATTATAATAACCATAAAGGGTTAGAAGCCTATTTTACGGTTGTAATGCACAACACTTTTACTCGTCAACAGGATGCTTGCACACTAATGGATCAAAATGCTGGGTGGCTTATTTATTACAGACAAGTATGTGTGATGGGGAAGGCTTATAAATTATTACCAAAAGACCATGCCATGTTTTTGTGACAAACCATTCTGGAATGTGAGAACTATTATTAGCTAATCTCAGTAGATTTTTTGCATCAGATATTGCCATTCCCATTTCCCAAGATGTCTATTTCACAATTTTTGGAATGTGGTTGCATTCCCGAATGTTTTGACGCGAAAAACATAACACATTTCAATGCATCCACAGTTTTGGAAAATGCTGATACTCAATTTTAATTACAAATTTCTTTCCTGTGCCCGCCAAAATACTGCCCGCTGCAAATCAGGCCCCCCATAAAATTGAGGGCCTGGGAGGAGGGGGAGGGAAGGAAAAATAAATGCAATCATAAAAATTCAATCTGAACAACATTTTTCATGAAGGCAAAGGGCATTTGTTATCGGAGAAAGGACAGTTTTATGTGTCTTCTAAAAACGTGCCCCCCCCGGTTCCTACACGCTTGGTAACAGTGTTGTTTGTGTGTATGAATATTTGTTGAAGTGTTGTAATGGGTTTCCCACCCTCTTTATGTTAGCTGCCAGTACACCAGGCACTGGATGGCTTGGTATCTCACCACACACCTAAATATACACTACCTGATGGAAGACGTTTATTCAGCTCGTGTGCAAACAACAAGTTCGCAAGCTTGCTTTGTGCATATGCTTTTCGAGGCTTATAATCTTTATCGCCGCTTAGATCATCAAACTCGATGGTACCTCGTTTATGAAGTGAACTGGTAACAACTAAGACCCTGCTTGGAGCCGACTGGGCTAGCGTGTCCATCAAAAGATTTGTCAGCAAAAAGTGTCCAAGGTGATTGACAGCAAACTGCATTTCGTAACCATCCTCTGACTTCCAGTGCGGGCAGCCATAAATTCCTGCATTGTTAATCAATATATGCAAACCATTTTCAGTCCTGACGAAATCTTGCACAAATTTTCGTACGGAATTCAAGGACGACAAATCAAGGAAGTAAACAGCAACTTGTGCATTCTCTACTTGCGATCGTATTTCAGAAGCGGCTTTGTCACCTCGTTTGAGGCTACGGCAAGCCAAAATTACGCGTGCTCCTTTCTGGGCCAATGTAAGGGCTGTTGCTTTGCCGAGACCTGTATTTCCTCCTGTAATAAGGGCAGTTTTTCCTCGCAAATTTACGTTGTTCTGGCAGACCGCACCGCTGAAGTAACGTCGCAACAGCCAAACCAATGCTCCACAAGCGCCGACTAAAGCAATTCTGGACATTTCCGATGGTTTTATTCGGTATATTTTGTTGAAAAGTGAAAATCCCATTAATTGCCTTTCCGTTTTGTTACGTTTTATGGAAATTGAACTGAAAAGGACGAAATAATGCAAATACTTCATGTAATACTGCTCAAAATTGATTGGTTAATTTATTGATGGCAAACGCCATATTGAATCGTGACGTCATGGCAAAATGACGTCGAGGTTTCATATTATCGCGCGAAGTTAATTACGCGAAAATTTAAAAACAACAATGGAGGACGCTTCAAGTGAATGCGAAGGACAGTTTTTGTTTCTTTCGAGGTATGAATTGTTTAATGCTTTTGAAGATTTTAAGAAAGGTACTTGCACTGGATGGCGTTGCGTCTTTAAAGACTCAAAATTTGGTAAGTTTGGTAAACTGTTCAATAATTATTCATAACATGTAATGAGAATAGACCATACTAGTAATATTTAGTATGATAGATGATGATGATGATTTTATTGATCCATCTTTAGTTTAAAAATACAATGGATTTACAAATATGTCTATTAAAAGAGAAGAGCATAACTAAGCATGCAATAATATTTACAAACTATCTAAAATTTATATATATACAATTTGGAGTAAAAAATTTAAAAGTCTAGGAAATTATTTAAAAAGTTAATAAAACCAAGTTTGGTTTTAGTGCAACCCCTGTCTCATTGCTCGTGGGACAAAACTATTTCTGTGTCGTTCAGTGCCTGAGAAAGGTGCGTATTTAAATATACCGTCTCTACGCCTAAGATTATAGTTATGTTTATTATGTTCCATAGTTCGTTGATAAAAGATATGACTTGGATCACCTAAGATGTTAACGAGTTCCCTCGATGTGGCTTCAATTCTTCTCTCTTCGAGAGTTGGCAGGTAACCATGCGGGAGGCCAATAATTCGTAGACTCCTCCTTTGCACACGTTCCAATTCGTCCTTTAGATATCGTGGCAGACCACCCCACACTGGAGAACAATATTCAAGGATAGGCCTGATTTTAGTTAAATAAGTGGTGAGATCCACTTCGACTGGTAGATTCGCTCTTCTACATTCTCGTAGGCAGTACAGGTTTTTAGCTGCTTTGCGGGTGGTCTCCTCGACATGTTTATTCCATTTCAGGTCCTTTTGAAACCAGGTTCCCAAGAGTTTAAAATTATCGACTCTTTCTATGATAGCATCTCCTATATGCAGTGGTAGAGGGGGCGGTGCTTCGGTGAAGTTAATCCACATATCTTTTGTCTTTTTGGCATTCAGTTCCATTTTATTTTCCACAGCCCAACTTTGTACTGAGTCCAGAGCGCTTTGCAAATCGCTAGATTCTCCTAATCTTATGGACGTATCCATGGTGCAATCGTCCGCATATTTGATTGTGTTGACACATGCCTGTTCAGAAACATTTTCCTCCATATCGTTAATATGTATGTTGAATAGGGTCGGCGAGATAGCAGTTCCCTGAGGGACGCCGGCTGGGCATGATGCAGTAAAGGATAGTACACCTTGGAGATTTACCTGTTGTGTTCTTCCATCCAGAAAACTCATTATCCATAACCAGAAACTCCTTGTTACATTCATATCAGCAAGCTTGTCCAGAAGGATCTTATGGTCGACCAAGTCAAACGCCTTCCGGAAATCAACAAATAGGGCGTGGACACCTTGTCTACCGGTTGAGGAGTTGTCCGTTGAGTCGAACCAGTTCTGAGATATTGAGGTAAGGGCAGACACGGTGGAGTGACCGCTCGTAAAGGCGTGCTGGTTTGTTTTGATCTTGAAACTGGATTTATTGAGTTGCAGCTGTAGCTTCTCGATAACTTTTGCTAGTTGTGGT